TCGCAGATTTTGCTAATGCAATAAGCAGAATTTCTTTTTTATGCTAAAGTGGAATAATTATAAATAATGGGTAGGAAACGGTTGGACAACTTATGCAATTTGTCTGAAGCTAAAATTTCTTACATCTGATTTAAAATTTTGTCAGGGTTAGAACTTGAAAAGAAGGTTTTAGAAACATTGCGCCTAAAATATTTTCCCCCTCAGAACTACTTTCCAAAATCGAAACATTTACTGTAAAAAATTCTAGATCGCAAAATGAAAACTACAGGCACTTTGAGTATATCGGTAAAACCCATTTTTACAGTAAAATGTTATACCGTAAATTTTACAGCAATATTTATTTAATTAGAGTGATTCAGAGATTTTATTGTAATTATTACTGTTAAAAATACGATTTATTACATTTTTCGTTCCATAACACATTCCGATAAAAATAGATTCTACGGCAAAAAGAAGTGTCGTTACTTTTTACCGTAATTTTTTACAGAGTCTTATAATTGTTAATCAACTTATTCTAATATGTACTTCACGCTTTGATAACGAAATATTATTTTATGATGGAAAAAATGCCTTCCTTAAAACGCTTTATGTTTATACCTCGATGCTGTCCTAAATTATCCCAATCCGATTTAGGGGCAACTTATTGACTTCAAATAAAGGACACGTCTTTTCCAAGCCATTTTACCTACACTGAACCAGTGTGTTGAAACATTATAGAGAACTAATCATGAAATAACTATCAACCAATACCACGTTTCTCATCTCGTAAGTGAGGTACCAATTGAGTCTCAACAGTTGAAAATCTACAACAATTGAGAATTATGCTAGAAATTATGCTTTTCTTGTCCGTGACCCACTAATCTGTCAATCTTTCACTAAACAGATTTTTTTTGGCGGCTAAACCTCATTCTGTGCGTGAAAGAGGTAAGAGGTAAAATTATTTCTGGAAAGAAAGAGGTAAAATTATTTCTGTAGTAGAAAAAGAGGTAAATTTATTATTTTTCTTTTTAAGGCTGTTAGTGTTTTGAAAAGCATAAGTGTTCTTTCTCATACATTGAAGATAATGAAGTTCCAAAACTCTATCTAGATCCCAAAATTGCGTAGTCCTCATAAAAAGAAGTTAACGGATTAACTTAAACTTACACTTGAGGAACAGTGAAAGAGTTGAAAACGAAAATTAAAAAAATTAAACCTTAAGTCCACCATTTTAGTTTAAATGATAGGAAACAACTAAAATAAAATAAAACAGCTTTTTCTAGAAAATGTTTGAAACTGGTCGTGTTTACCGTAACCCCCTCCCCGCTAAGCACACACTTCGAACAAAATATTTTTAGCACTGAAATTTAACCTGGCCACTGTGGGCCAGAAGACCATGATCTTTTGCCAAAAGTCAAACATTGAATTTTCAACTGATACATGTGTAGGCAGTTTTAATGTAGCCCAAATTAAGTATTCGTAATCATTCCAAACATTATAATTTATTTTTTGGACCGACGAGAGTACAATGTAATAAAAAATATGCTTAAAAAATTTTTTTTGTAACTTTTACATTTTTATTTCAGAAATATATACGGGAATTTCACCTTACTGTTACATTTTTATCAGAGTAATTAGTCTGAAATTACAGTACAATTTTTTAATTTGTTGGATTAGTTAATACTCTTGACGAACTTATGGTTTATATCTTATCATTTGACATTTTGCAATGTTTGAATGACTTTCGAAACTTCTTTCGAAAAAATCTGCCGCATTTTGTCCGTATTGCAAAGGTGGACTAAATGTACCGAAAAACAAAAATTATGTTTTTTTTTCATGTTTTCGCGTTATTGAAGTTATACTTCTTATGCGACTTCCAACAAGGTTGCGTTAAACGTTTAACGCTACATTTTTATTGGCCGGGAAATCACGTGGTAGGATCCAGTTTTCCCTCATTCATTTCCATATTGTTTTGGTTCTCACTAACATAAAAATAAAAGTCATAAAACTTTTGTTTTACTATAATATTTTTTTAGTTTGTTTTGATACACATATAATTTATTAGGGAGCAGGAAAAAGAGTCGTTGAATAGAACTAGTGATCCTTCTACAAATGCTGATTCTTCTACAATTAACGTCGCAGGTTACGAAGTTTAACTTCTTCCACGCGGAGGGACTCCACGCACTTTTTTTTTGTAATATTGCTTCGCAAATATAATTTTGCTTTTCATTTTTAATATGAAATTGCGAAAATTATTATTTTTTCATTGCTATATTTAATTATTTAAACGTACTATATTATTTTTTTTTTATTTTTGCTCGCCTTATTTCAGCCGCCATTTTGTTTGTTTTGGGGTATTTTTAGTGTACTTCAAAATTTCAACTATGAATTCAATTTACCTGCACATGAAAAACCCTAAATAAAAACCCCGAAATTTTGAAACAAATTTTATCGAAATACTAATTTTGGCTCCGAAACCTTGGATGCTGGCCCACTGTGCTGGCCTATGAGTTTGCTTTGTGTTTAACAATTTCAGCAGAGGACTTGGTTCACGAAAAATCACGCTTTAACATTATAGTGCATAATATCATATTTCATTTTATTATTTGAAGGCTAATACGTTGAACACATTAAATACAATATTCCTTAAATATACTTTTACTGTACCTTTAACAGTTAAAACATAATATTGTATTTCTTATAATATTATTAAACATTAGGTAATCCATTGAATATTTATTCATTTAATAAGTATTCGTAATTTAATTTAATTTCGTTTTTGGAGGCAGGTGGTGCAAATAAGTAAGCAGTACCCTCAATCTTACCATTTGAAGATCTGTCAAAAACTAGTAATTTATATTACTGCACAAGTGTGATTATAAAAAAAAACTATTTGGTAACTGAAATAACTATATTTCATCATTGAAACATCACAAATATAATTGGGAATAATTTATGTCAAATAAAAACTAAAAAGTGAAAAACGTAAAGTAATGATACGATTTAGGCCACACAAAGACAAGATATAGAAAAATTTAAGATTTAGGCAACTCTAATAAATCAAAATATCCATATCCAACAATTAAATGATTTTTTTAGAGTGTAACCTCACTCTAAAGGTGTTATTTAAACATGAAAACAATTAAATGAAAACATGAAACAATTAAATTGAAAAAGAGACGAGAAGTTCCTTTTCATTGAAACTGTAGTATATTATTTTTTTAATAATAATTCTGCTTCTTTTTGCTTTTAATTATTCGGTGTAATATTTTGATAGGCAGCATTATCAAGCAAATATATAAAATTAAACAATTTTAGCTGTAATAATTTTATTTTGCTTTAAAGAAATTAAAAATATATGTACATAAATGCCCTTTTACGAATATGTTACGGATCTAATTAATCGTAATTTTTATGCTAATAACTACCGTGAAATCACAAAATCACTCTTATTAAATAAATATCACTGTAAAAATCGCGATATAATATGTTACGGTAAAAATTGATTTTATGGATAATTTCCCCAAAGTGCCGGTATACTTTATACCGTAATTTGATCCAGAATTTTATACAATGTAACTTGAATCAAATTTTAAAAATATTTATAATTTAAAGCCTAAGCATAATTCGTAAAACAACTGCGATTTTGTCATATGACATTAAAATATTTTAAAAATATATTACAAATGCCAATAAAGCTGAGAAAGTACCAACTTATGTATTGAAATAAAAATATTATTATTGAAGTTATTGATATTAAATAAAAGTGCATATTAAAGTATTTATTTTTGATTGGCAAATAAAAAAAAACAATTCTCTTTAACAAGTATTTGCAAGACTTGCATAAAGAATAGTTTGAATTTGAACTTAGACTAGTTCACGGCAAAGTACTTAAATACAGAAAAAAATGCTTTGTTGTTACTTCTGAACAAAATAAGTTAGTAATATTAGATTAAAGAAATTTAACAAAATATTAAGAATTATAAGTAATTTACCATTAATCAAAATCATTTTGCAGTTCGAAATTTTTTTTTAATGAAATTAAATTTTTTTTCTTTTTTCTAAAAATATCTCGTTGCAGCAAATTCAAGAATGAAAATTTTTGGTGTTACAATTTCCCAACAAAAAATTTTCCCCTATACATTTAAATGTCTTTTTAGAAATTAATTTTTTGTTTAGACCTCAATGGCAAAAACAATATACCTATATCGTTTTTATTTTATTCACCGTTTTAATCAAAATGCAAAATATTAAAATTCCCTAAATGTAAATCCCTGAAAAAATATTATCCGTTTTTTAGAAACAATCCCTGCATTAAGTTATACTTTTTAAGTTCAATCACTACAAACTTTGATTAAAGATTGGTGAAATCAAAGTTTGTAATGATTAAACTTAACTGATTAAAGATTGCTGCGATGCATTTAAAGAAACATTAACTTTTTGGGATTACGACACTTAGCCCTTTTCATTTTTAATCAGTTTCTTTTTTAAGCAATAAAACTTTATAATAATTTATATTTAATCAGTGGTGCCCGATTTTATGTACGCACTTGAATAATAGTTTAATATTACATACAACTTTTTACTGTTAAATTCCTTAAAAAAATGTTCGCTACTCAAAGAATTTTTTAATACATTTATATTAAAAAAATTTTTTTTTTATTTTTACGAGCACTTTAAATTTTAATTTTGCAAAAAATTATTGACCGTTATACGTTTTTCTTTTTAAAAAAAACAAATTCAAAAATATTTTTCAACTGCGGCTGAGATATACTGAGACCGTTTTTAGAATTTAGAAAACAATACGGTTTACTAAACATTGGTTTTAATAAAACATAATGTTCCTCAATAATAAATAATATTCAGAACAAAAAGTAATCAATTCATTTCTATTTAATATATTCACAAACAAAACACATTTAGGACCAATAAATGTATCATTATATAAATTTTTCCCTTCCTATTTAGGATATATATTTTTTATTATTTAGGATATATATGGATATATATTTTTTAAAAATTACCTTATAAGCCCCGTCCACCAATTTAGCAATCTCATCCGGATCAGACATTATAAACTGAATAATCACCGACGCAACAGTTCTGGAGTTAAGGACGGAGGAAGTTCTCCGGTATTTATCCCGTATTCAATTTTATCCTGGGATTGGTGGAAGGGGGTGCCGAACACCGCGCACTCACATCACATAACTGCCGGACAACCGGAGGCAGAATGTGCCGGCCTTACGAAAGGACCGCCGGTTTACACCACGTGCTCCCGTGACGTCACGGGATTCCCTTTTCTTCGCGCACTCGCGGTATCATTCCCGAAACTGGAAAAGGAGAAAAGGCATTTAGAATGACTAAAGAAATAAGTTTCGACTTGATTTTAAATGTCCTAAGGGAAAGTTTGGTGTCATGTTGATTTTTTCCTGAAGCTAAACAAATCATTGTCACTGCGTGATTAATCATTTGCATGCTTTTTATAAATGACAAACTCAATTTCAACATAAAAAAAGTTATTGAAAATTGAAATTTTTTTTTAAGTCTCTGGGGAAAAAAATATTTCAGTGTTTTTATTTAATTTACTTTCCAATTATTCACGTTATTTAATTCTTATTTATTATTAGTTAAGAGTTTAAATGAGTAGTTCACAACTTAAATGCGTGTAATTTTCTAACTGCCTAAATTTTATTTCATCACCGTCGTTGGACATCCTGCTTAATTTTGAGTTTACCACTACCAATATTCAACTCGGTAGCCTTGTAATTTTGAACGAAATCCAAAAGACAAGAGAACTCCAGGATCAAGTATCGGGTGAAATTTGTCTTCGTGGAAGACATTTTGATTTACATCAAAATGTCCACATCTAATCCACATTTGAGTTGCATGGAAAGGATTGATTGATTTGTTCATTTACGTCGCACTAGAGCTGCACAATGGGCTATTGGCGACAGTCTGGGAAACATCCCTGAGGATGATCCGAAGATATGCCATCGCAATTTTGATCCTCCGCAGAGGGAAGCATGGAAAGGAAAAAAACGAAAAACCCCATGGTTAACCTGACGTTAAGGGGACTCTAACCCATGATATGCCTACCACTAAGGATATTTCACGTCAACACTGTGGTCGGAGCTAGTTGGGTGTAGAATTCGAGCTGGGATTCGAATTACGAGCCATGGAATTCGGGTCAATCTATTGGGAGGAGAGTGCTATATCCCCTGAAATAACTGTCTGAATTAATGTATATAAAGAAGGGGAGTCCGAAAATATGCATTCCCTGGTGACTGTGGAAAGTGGTAAGTATGGAAAACAAAAAATATATCGCGATATTAAAGATTTTATATAATCTAATCAGAAAATGAATTCAATTTACAAAATCAAAAAAGAGACAAAGAAGTAATTAAACTATTAAAACATTAAATCAAAACGGAAAAGCGCCTAAAGCAGCTAAAACCAAATTTGCTTTATTTAATTCAGACATTCAAACAAACATTACATCTGTAAAAATTAAAATACAGTAGGGAACCGATTATCCGGAACGATCGGGACCATCGCTATTCCGGATAACTGATTTTTCCGGTTTTCTGAATCGCAAAAAAAAAGCCGTTTTTTTCATTGTCAAACTCAACTGAAAAAAAAATATTTGGAAATAATCTTAAAAAGAAGAAAAAACGATGAAGTAATATACTAATGATTATTTCCAAAATGATGGTAAGGTAAACATCTTTCAAAAAAGAAAGAAAAATCTCAAAATCTTATGAGGAAAAAAAAAATTTTTTTTTAAATAACGGGAATATTTATCGAATTTCGTTCCGGTTTTTTTGTTTTCCGGTTTTCTGATTTCCGGATAACGGGTTCTGTACTGTATATGTGTGTTTGTAGGACAGCACTTCTTCAGGGGACACACTGTCTACAAACACACATGAGCCTTTCTGTTGTCAGTGGAAAAACCAAAACTGACAGTGCCTCGAGGCCCCACAATGAATAGACAAATAAGAAAATCATTACCATAATTGAAAAGCACTGAAAGTAATGAACAGGAAACACTACTTAAAAGTACATAAAGTAAGATTTAAAAATGAAACGCCTCCTTATAAATCAAAATATAAATATAAAACTATAGTAACAGTTACAGTTAGATAAATCACATCAAAATAAAATATAAATTGCCGAATCAGTAAGAAAATATTAAAACCAAGTGCTGACATCTGTTTGAAAATCCTAAACAATGAAACAAAAATATTCAACGAGCAAAAAATTCTTCAAGTGCTGCCATCTGCTTTGGAAAAAGAAATCCTTAATTTTCACCTGTGAGCAGAGGTGAGTATGGAAAACAAAAAATATAACACGATATTACAGATTTAATGTAATTTAATTTTTCCACATAATTACCAAATACGTTTAGATATTTGTCATATCACTTAATAAGCCTAAGAAAAACATCCAGGGAAAAAATCAGGGCTCTGCTGAAGAAACGTTGGATGGCTTGTGTGACTTTAATTTTGCTTTCAAAGCGTGTTCAGTCGAGATTTTTCTTCAAGGCCGTACATCAGGACAGTATGACGAAAGGCCAAAAAGTGCTCCCAACAAAGAGTTTCTATATGGTTTTGCTTTACCGACACCTAACTTGGTCTTGCATTGTATGTAACGCAGCAATATAACGCCAAATTGAAGAAGGACAAGCCCCTTTTTTCGTTTAGCCTCCTTCAATTTCAGCAGTGTAACTACAGCACGTAGCAATGATGGTTCCAACCTCCAAAAATTCAGCAATAAAACTCCTAAACCATAGAACCATAGCGGAAAGAAGAAAGTTTGTTCTTGAATTGTTCTTGTTTGTTCTTCGATCATGTTTTTTTTTTTTTTGGTTTTGAAATTTTTACTTATTTGTAATTTACTGATCTTTTGATTGCTTTCTTTAAAAAATTTCTTCTTTTATGTTTTGAAAAACTCACAATATATCATGAGGCTTGGAACCAGATTGTTGTTGTTGTTAATTTACGTCGCACTAGAGCTGCACAATGGGCTATTGGCGACGGTCTGGGAAACATCCCGGAGGATGATCCGAAGACATGCCATCACAATTTTGATCCTCTGCGGAGGGGATGGCACCCCCGCTTCGGTAGCCCGACGACCTGCGCGCGAAGTCGAGCACTTTACGCTAGCACAGTTTAACGAGGACCAATACCGCACACCCTCGGTCCTTACGCAGACTGATCCAAGTGGTCACCCATCCGCACACTGATCGCAGCCAGTGATGCTGATCTGCTGGGAACCGTGTCTTAACGATCAGTCCACTGCGGGACCGGAACCAGATTGATCACTGTCGAATATTGTCCAATGGTGAATATGTGTCTCTTACTTTTAACCACTATTTTGTATATACTCCATTGCTGTTCTATTTCCTGGGAAAAACTGGAATTCAGCCCCATTTTTAACATGCAAATTTTTTTTGTTTGTTTGTTGAAAGATGTTATTTTTACTGTTATCTGGAATAGAGTATTATAGTCAGTTCATATATCCATCACTCCCAGAACTGCCACTTGTTGGTCAAGGAGGTCATAAAAGCTAAAACTCTTCAATTTCAGTCCAACGACATTATGGTCGCAACGTAATGAATATTGCGCACCGGTTGCCTTTAATATCTATTTGTTTTGCTTTATTACTAATAAAGTTTTGAGTTTGTAGAGCTTTTCAGGTGGAGGACTCTTGGTGGGTCGCGGAGTGGTGGCCGTCTCTCTTGCTGTCGGTCTGGACTTTCTAGCACCTGCATCGGGTTTGGAGCCACTGTGGCTTTGGCTTCGATGTTCTTGCTCTGAATGGGTCACCACTGCTCGTCGATTCGATAGTTTTGCTCATTCTCGTGCGTGACTCTAGGCTTTGTGCTGCCACGGAGTTTATTTCGCGTGATCAGTCTTCATGAGTTCCCCGGATGGCCCAATGAGGGCGGATTGAGTTTTTAGCTACGCTTAACTTATATCACTGCTTTATATCTAGAAAATTGGACAAAAAACAATGGCATTTAAAAAGGATGCGCCGACCAGGTGACCGAGTGGCTAGTGTGCCTGACTGCGGAGCCGATGGTCGCGGGTTTGAATCCCGCTCAGGGCATGGATGTTTCTTTCTCTCTGTCCTTTCTCTTTTGTGTGAGTGTGTGAATGTGACCCGCCCTATAAATGGGTTTGTAGTTGTGTGACGTGGGCGACGCTGCTTCACCGCCGTGGTTTCGCCACAGGTGCCCACTGGGTAACGACAAGAGAGCAGCTCTTCTGGCACTCCTGGCCAATAGGAAAATACATCTCAAGTGCCCGCCATTAAAGCAAAAAAGAAAAAAAATAGGATGCAATAAATAAAATTCATCCACTGAATTTAGTATCCCGAAATTAATTAAATGCACATAATTAATAATCAGTATCAAAAATTAAAAAAGGTTCATTAATGTTTTTCACCTTTCGCAGACTGGCGTATATTCTTGACTATTTCTTAACAGGGATTTTCTCTTTCAATTCCTTTCTTAACTATAACTACTGAAGTTATAATTTGAAAAGAATGCATACAAGCAGATAATTAATTTAATAGTGCGTTTACAATTTAAAAAAACTGTATTTAATATATAATGAAACGAGATAATTGTTATTTATACGATTATGATTTTCGCACAATGTAACATCAGAAAAAAAAACTAGAGAGAAAAGAGTTTTTCAAACAATAGTTTTTTAGTTTCTCCATTGTTTGACTACTTTTCAATTCAACTGCTTCGGATATGTTTTGAAGTAATAAATTCGCTCTTTTTTCAAAGATTTTTGCCGCTTTAACTCCTCTGTTTTCATTTTAAATAAAGCTTTCATAGCATTACTTATATGATTAGAATCAAGATTGCAGCTTTAATTTAGCTCCAGAAAATGTTTAAGTACATTGTGAAAAATTGTTTAGGAAATTAACGTTACAGTTAAATCTACAATTAAGTAACTTTTCCATTTTTTCTATTTAGTTCAGTGTTGGATTCCATCACTTATTTCACTAACATCTGCATATTTCTTAATTTAGAAAATTAAATGTAACAAATGCAAAATTATCTTAAATAGATTATTTCTCATTATACCAAACAATATGTAAGCTCACCACTGTTTTGGATATTCAACTTAATATGGCATTTTATTTTGCTGTATGCAAACTACAATACTTAAAATCGAGGAATTTGGGCCGAAATGTTACGAATTT